TACATGAGCAAATCTAAACTGAAAATTAACTCTATTACTGATATATAGAATTATTCAAAATATTTATTTGGATAATAAACTTAAACTTAAAGAACACTGATTTTAAAATACTGTACCAACAAAATGTTGCTTAAAATAACCAAAATAATGTATCAGCAATACTTCCTATGAAAAGTCCATCATTAAGAAATATCAGGTTTTCAGAGAGCTGTTGCCATCTAAATAATAAACAATATTGAGCAAAATAGACTGCCTCATTACAGAATAGCTTTAATAGTATATCCACAGTCAATATTTCACCACAATGTATGTAGGCCATCAAAACCTGGGTAGATACGTGTGTATGTATGTATTTATGTGTCTTCAAGTCAATATTGACTCCTGGAAGTTGTATGGACTGCAGTTTTGCAGCAAAAAAAAATCAGAAATCGTTTGCCATTTCTCTGGCAATACCTACATGTTGGTTGAATCCCCCAATGGAACAATATCCCCACCTGTTCTCTAATGTTTGAGAATTGGTAGTCCACGCAGAGCAGAGCAGTCCTGTATGAGGAACTAGAGGAAATGTTACATCAAATAGAAATCTGCTCTGAGAGAATGGAACCTTCTATGCCTGGAATGCATTTTAATGTTATTTTTTTTAAAACCCAAAACGTTTTGTTTGAAGCATAAACATTTGAATAGGCTGCTTTGAGGGCAATGTTAAAAGATCAAACGCTATGCTGGCAATATTAACTGCAGGAATAGCCGGGAAACTAGCAACCACCAGACACCTCACCCCCCACCCCAGTGTGTATTTCCAGAGTAGACCAGGTCAACAAGATCGTCCTGAAAGCAGGCAGGACGTAACAGGACAGGGAGTCTTGCCAAGACAAGTGAACCAGCAGGAAGAACGGGATGGGACAAGGAGGCAGGTTGAAAACGAAGCGCCCCGTCTTAGACACACACAGCCTGCTGCGAAAGGGGAGGGGGGTGTCTTCAGTCTCTCAATTACCTTAGCCATTCCTTCTTGTGCTTCGGCATCACCCGAGTAAGATCTAGCAAAGATCTCCCCCCTCCCAACCTCCCCATCTCCAATGCACGTGTACCCCATTTGCTTCGCTCCCCTCCCCCCACCCGCTTATTGAACCGATCCTCACTCACTTTTTATTGTAAAGCTCCTCCAGCCGGTGCCAAACGGCAGCCTGACCAGGCCCCGAGCTCTGGCTCTGCTGTAGGAAAGCTGGGACGTCCTTCATGGTAGGACCGGGAGGGGACCAGCACCGAGAGAACCGCCGTTCACTCTGAAGAGCAACGGAGACCGGCCCTTTTCGGCGCCGGAAATGCACACTCACTTCCGGCACCTTCAACGCGGAGCATGCCGGGTACCGTATGGCCCTGCGTAGGGTAGCCTCGCTTCAACGTTCCGCCCCCGAAGAAAGATTGGTTGGTCTCTGTGTGGGAGTGTCCTTTTTCGCTCGGGCGCCCCCTGCCGGCCGGCTTGCGAAGTGACAAGAAAGCGCAGTTGGTTAGCATTGGGCAGCTGCCAGGTGGGGACGCGTCGTCGTTTCATTCCTTTCTGTCGCGCGTCGTATCGCGAGGATAGCAAGACGTATGAAGATTCATTATTGTTGCTGCCTAGGTGCGCTGGCGTTACTACAGGCTCTCTTGTAGGGGCCCAGGACTCGGGGACCTTGCTGGCCATAGATCTTAGGTTCACTCGTGGCGGAACCAGTAAATGGGCTGCCCTCCAATTAAGCGCTTTGCTGTTTCCTCTACATTCGGGCTTATCTTAGCATTGAGAAAATTAGAAAAAGTTAATGTTAGGAAAGACATTTATTTTATTTTTATTTATTTTATTTTGTCAAGCGATTATAGGATAACGGGTATAAGTATAAACATAATTATGAATACATGAAATTGATACGAGTAAAAAAAAAAAAGAAACAATAGGACAGTGATGGTAGGCAGGTTGGTGCGCTTATGCACGCCCCCTACAGACCTCTTAGGAAAGGGGTGAGGTCAATAGTAGACAGTCTAAGGTTAAAGTTTTTGAGGTTTGGGGAAGAAACCACAGAGTCAGGTAGAGTATTCCAGACATTGACCACTCTGTTGCTGAAGTCGTATTTCCTGCAATCAAGTTTGGTGCAATTAACCTTGAGTTTCTATTTATTGTTTGCTCTTGTGTTATGGTTGAAGCTGAAGTATCCATTGACAGGTAGGACATTACAGTGTATAATTTTACGCACTATACTTAGATCAGACCGAAAGCGGCATAGTTCTAGGTTGTCTAGGTCTAGAATTTCAAATCTGGTGGCATAAGGTATTCTGCAACGAGTAGAGGAGTGGAGAACTCTTCTTGTGAAATATTTCTAGATTTTTATATTTCTGGACATTCCTATTCCATTCTGTGTAGTTTTGGAAAAAGCAGGTGGCCCTTGCATTTTGAAATAGTTTTGGGAAGGATTTATGTTTTGCTTTAAAATAAATGCATGTGAGGAAAAGTAGGAGAGAGATTTTTAATTTTTTGTTGAAGTTTTTTTGCAGAATAAAACAATGCAAATTTAAAGAAGGAAAAGTGGGGGGAAGTGATAAAGAAAAAAGGAAACAAAAAGATACAAAAAAGCCTCTTCTGCTCCTCACAGCAGTTATAAATTTATTTATATTTTTCTTTTCTATAGATATTGCTTCCTTCTTTCCATATTCTATCCTTTATAATCATCAAACCCATAAATCACAAGTTCATTTTTGTTCTGTTTTCAGCTTAAAGTCCTAACAGGATAACAATCACTGACAAATGTAATTGCTTCCTTTTCCCTAATCAAACAACTCATTTTTTGCCATTTCTACAAATTCTGTCATCTTCACCAACCTATTCACCAACCGCTACTGTGTGTATTTCAGAGTGTTTCCATCTTTGTGCATGTAATGATGTTGCTGTAGATGAAAAGTAAGATGATTTTGAGTGGCAGAGAGTATAGAGAATCAAGGCCCTCTGATTTGTTTTATCAGCCAATCTTATAGAGTATAACTATATAGGTGCGCCCCTGTACCTAAGGCAGTGTTCTTCAAACTTGCAACTTTAAAATTGATGAACTTCAACTCCCAGAATTCCACAGCAGCATTTTAAAGTTGCCAAGTTTGCGGGGTGGGAATAACCCAAGGAATATTATTTATGACAATTTTGTTCATGCAACTGTGTTGATAATTTTTATTAACATCTGCATTTTGGGAGAAATTTTGTTTCCAGAGATTGGGCCTTCCACTTTACTGAGTTAGTGCTATCCATCCATCCTTAAGCTGGCAGAAAAATAAGCCTGCATGGAATTTGCTATCCCTATTGCCAATCCCAGTTTCTGCCAGTCACCTGTCTTGCTTCCAAACCTGTTTTAAATGCCTTGATGCTGCCTTTGGGTGGTATTGGAATAAGAAGAGAAATGTTCCTTTTGACAATGGAACAGTTTAGGAAATTTTAAAACTATCTCACAGTTTCTCCTAGTTTCGGTAGTTGAAAAAGGGGATATAGTTTTAGTCATGTAGGTTTCAGTGAATCTTGTCTAAGTAAAACTGATTAGAATTCATCCTGTATTTTTTAATAGAAATGTAGCCACTTGTTAAATTATTTAAAATTTTGCTTTTAAATTTGTGGTGCTTTGTCAAAAAATCTGATGGTTGCAGAATCATATAATGGCTAACACTGAAAATTGAACTTAAAGTTCCAACCAGCAATATATAGTTCATTATAACTATACTTAGAGATATTTCCTATTTTCCCTAGTGTTTGCTATATTATATGTATTTGGTTGGTTTTCCATTTGTTTTTCTTCCTTGTTCAAAATTAAATAGAAAAGATGACCATGAACTTTACTAAAGGAACAAATATACTCCTTTATATATGAAGAAGGAGATAATAGCCAATAACATTTTATATCATCTGAGCAATATTTTATGTTTTGCCTCGTAAGCTTCCATTTTCCTAACTATAGCAAGGTAGAACAATCCCAATTTTCTTGTGACTTAAGTCATACTAAGACTTTTATTATTAAACACTATTAACATGTATTTGTATAACGCAAACTATATGTATCATATTCCAGCAAATGGCAGAACATTTCAGTTACTAATTCCCTCAGATAACACAAACATCTGCTTAGTTTTTAACATTACATTTACCCCCTTTTGTAGCTGTGCTTTCATATTGTACAACTTCTACCATTTCTACTGAATGGTTGATTAGCATTGTCAGCTGTAATGAAAATGATTGGTAGCAAGTGACTGTTAGTAACACCAACAAAAGATGATTAGTAGTAAAGGCAGTGTTGATAACAGATAATACATGATTTAGCTGATTTTTTACTCAATCACAATTTTTGGATTCTTATTATTAGTTAATCATGCATTAATTCTTATGTTTTATATCAGGGCTGTCAAACTTGCAGCCTGCAAGCTTGTTGCGTCACACACTGCCCGTGCCAAGTTTAGCGAAGCGGGGGGAAAGTCCTGATACATCACGTGACACCACTGTGGCGACACAAGTTTGACACCCCTGTTTTATATATATGCTTATCCTTTATGTAAGTTTTTAAAATATTTTTGTTTTTCAAAATTATTAACTGTTTGTAGTCTACCCTTTCTATTAAGACTGTAATAAAGATTTGAAAAGAAAGCTGTAATCACATTAAGACTTAGCTTAGTGAGTATATCTAAACTAAAATTTTGAGGCTTATATAAGATCTTCTGGTTCAGAATCAAAATTAATTTCATATGTCAAAAAAACAATGTTCTGCAATAAATCAACATTTAAAAGGAACCATACATGAGAAGCAGTGTAGTGTTTTCTTCCTCAGTTCTCATGGGGTGATGGGATTCAGCATGTGCCAAGTGATAAAGAGCTTTACAGGCGAAGACCAGCTCTTTAAATTTTATATGGGAGCCTACTAAAGCCAATGCTGTTTTTATGCACTTTGCATTGTTCTTTGTTTTTAAATGTTTAACACTTATAAACTTCCCAGTCACTGGAATTTAGGTGACTTATAAACAATAAGTTATTATTTCATGCTTATAGCACTGCTGTTATATGGCACTGGTGGCTCTCACCTACCAGCAAGTGAACTGTTGTGTTTTGAACTAACTTAGCTTGCTTGTATTTTTCATAGGTAGCTCCATGTAAAGTAAATGATTGAAGCAAGAGGTGTGCTTTGGGAGAAAAGGTGAAATCTCCTTTGGATTGAGCTCAATTCCTGGAGATTTCATGGGAAAAGTCGTGCAGTTTGTTTAGCAACATATAGATACGGACTGGCTGGGTGCTATTTTTTTACATTCTCCCCTTGGTTAAATAAAGGAAACTGGCTGATTCATGTTATTTTTTTAGCATGTCAAGATTGACTGCAGTGAGAAAAAATAGGGGTGGATTTGAAGATGTTTCTGATGATTTGGGGAATGAAAGCAGGAGCCTTTTGAGAAAGCTTGCATTCAGCAAGATCTACTCCAAAACATATCTTCTACTCCAACCCTCACTATTGCTTTGCTTTACCTGTAGCAGGTCCTTCGCCTTGAAAGGAAAATGATGGGGCACAAGCAAAGCAGAGCAATGCCCATTCTGCGGGTTTTCACATTGGCACGAAGGGAAGCTATAACTATTTCAGAGCTGTTTTTTGACATAGGTGCGTTTCATTCCTTTCTCATTTTTTCAGAGGTTTAGTAAGAGGATAGTAGTGGAATTAATCACATTATTACAATATACTCAAACACCGATAAAATAGTCTGTCATTGGTCCTTCTATTAGGAACATTGTGGTAAAGGTCCTTCTGTTGTGCTTCCTGGCTCAAGATAATGGAAAGCAAATAGAGCGGTGCTGCTTTGCCCTATGTCCTAAATTAGTTTTGAGATCACAGTTGCTGGCTAAATAACACCAAGCTTTTATCAGCCCTTATAAAAGCAATACTTAAAAAAAAAAATCACTTGTCTTGGTTTTTCTGATTTAGGACTTGGCCACTGAAGGGAAATGAACTGGAGGTTGCATTTCAGAGTCTCTGCAAGGAAAACCCTGCTTCATATTGCCAGTTTACAGAGATTAATTGGTAAGTCTCCGACTGTTTCAGGTAGCTTGCTTGATCTGAGAAAAGCATATCAGGGTTTTAAAAGTCTATGGAAATTTGTGACAGTAGGTGGACAAATATATGGGAGTTAATATATTATGAACAACAAGCTGAATATAGGAAACAATGCTGTTGAGATCCTCATGTAGTCCCTAGGAATAAAGCTCAATTTACTTATTTTAACATTTTATTGCATAAATTGTAAGCAAATGCAATATATGTAATAGCAATATATAATAAAGATAAAACTACTCCCACAGAGGAAGTATTAACCATGTAAAATTTTGTTTTGCTGAGCTAAATTATTTGTCATTCTTCTTCAAAATGATTCTTCACTTTCAATATTTTCCCCAAAAATGTTTTTGTAATTATTTTTAGGATGGAAGTCTCTGGATTTCTGGATGTATGCCCAGCATCAGCATTTTAGAAATTCTTCCACTCTGACAGCCTGCAAAAATCTTCCCTTAATTCCATTAAGATCTGTCCTCTGCTTTCCTCATGGAAAACATTTGCTGCAGAAGTCTTCAGAAAGTAGCTTAAAAAATACAACAGGCTTGTCTGGGATAAGGTATCCTTTATGTAAATATTCTTTAACTTGAAATTCTATTAAATCTTATTTAACAGTAAGGCTCATTAAAACTCAAGAGATTTTTGACTGTTTGTTGTGAGCCTATAATAAGCTACCTTTCAGGTTCAAAGTTCTCATTCTCATAATAGTTCTATTGCTGGCAGAAGGAAAGGATCCAGAGGACACCGCGTCTGTTTGGTATTAGATTAGAAAGCATATAAAAGGCTATTCTCTGCATAAAATGATATATATTTTAAAATGTCATTAACTTAATATAAAATATTTTTCAGTATTCCAACCCATAGGTTATAATACAATGCACAGTTATCAGGCATACAATTTAAAAAGAGTATTTAATAAAATTTAAAAAAAATTAAGCTAATATAAAAATATTTTTGTTACAAGGACAAAATCATCCCCATGTAATGCTACTGTGGAGGAAATGTTTATGATGTTGGGTTGCATTCAATCTATGGAGTATTTTTCAGAGCTGTCTGTGTTTTTCATAAGAATTCAGTTTTATGGGGATCAGGGTAGAATCCTTTTTCAGAACAGGTTCTAAATATTTGGCAAGTACAGCAAAACAAGTTGGAGTTGGCCAGGAGAAGTTTTAGGAGAATGGCTGTCAATATTTGTCCAGTACCACTTCTTGCATCTGAAATTGTGTTAATAGTGATTGGAGGGAAGTTTCAGTAATATATTTCAGATGTTGCCTCCATTCAACTAAGTATTTTCATACTGCATATCAAGACCCAATTTTTGTTAGCAATTAAACTTTAATCAGCTTTAATCATGCAGATACAGTATATATAAAATACTCTGCTGTTGAAACATCCCCAAATGTTAAAAAAAAAATCTTGGTGAATACCACGTTTTACATAATATGTCAAAAGTCCTTCTTTGTGTAAAACGTAGGAACTAGCAAACTTATACAAGAAATGATGCCATTCATGGTCTGTTTTGGCCTTAACTTTAAATGGAATTATCTAATATTCATTCTCCATTGAACCTAACTATGGTGAAAATATGCCCAATATGTTAATTTTTTTCTACTATATCCCAATGGTGTTGCCGTCAGCTTGACTTAAGTCCATGAATGAGAAAGTCCTAAGTCATCCTTGGCTGAACTGGTGTTGTTTTTCACTTTACCTGGGCATGGTCCGAGGACAATCTGTATAAAATTTCATCCTTTATCAAGGAAGTCAAGTGATTGCAATTATTTGAATGAGAGACAATAGGAACTGGCAATGGGAACAGAAAGCTGTATGCTAGTATAGTTTCTTTGTCTGCTAAAGGCTGGGTGGAGATTCTTCAATGCCACATCAAGGGAAAAGGAAAAGCTCACGCTGATCCTTTTCTGAATATATTAGATAACAATCCATGGATGGGTATTTCCTGTAAATCATAGATTGGACTGGAATATTGGTTATTTTTTCCCTTATAAGTGTGATTCTTTATCATCTAAAGCATGCTTGCTTATTACGTTGCCTGCAGGATCCAGGGAATAAGGTTATTGTCCCTATCCACATTCTCAAGAGTGTTTTTTGGAATTGGCCAAGGAGGAAATAACAGTGGAAATAAGAAGCTCAGCCTAAGAGATGTGATGGAACGCATCCAGAAGAAAGAATGCCATAGGATAGTAGTGATGGCTGGAGCAGGACTCAGTACCCCGAGTGGGATTCCAGATTTCAGGTACTGTGTGGAGCTACTCGTATGGCTTTGCCAGCTTTAATCAAATAAGCATTCATGTCAGCAAAACACAAGAATGGTCATCCATGAAACCTGTTTGCAGTAGGTGTCACACTGTCACATAGCTTTTATCGTGTGCTAAATAACAGCGGCTCAAATGGGGTATTTTTTGGGGGGGGTGACTGTAGGGAAATGTCAGTGTTATTTTTCTGCTTCTCCCAACACAGAGCCTTGTTTCCTCTTTTAATTAGTAGTGCAACAGCTCTTCGCAAAAAAAGTGGGCTACATGAACTGTACCTTCAAGAGTTTCTTTGGAGGTCTTCAAGAATGATTGTATTGCCAACAATAATATTAGTATTATTGGCCAAGAGTCATTTGGCCTTTTACTTTCCTTTTTTCTCGTTTGATCTTGCTGTTCTAAGACATTAACACACTTCTTATTTATTTTAGTGTTCAATCAGATTTGATTCCTGGTTATGTGGTTATTTCAGGAACTTTTTCAGAACTGGTTTGGCATTGCCATTTTCTTAAGGTTGAGAGGAGTGACTGGCCCAAGGTTACCCAGCTGGCTTTCCATGCTTAGATCAAGACTAAAACTCATGTTTCCCTATTCGTGATCTAACACTTTATCCATCAGATCAAACTGACCTGAATTTATAAATTGGTTGCAAATGAAAAATCCACTTATTTTATAGTTGGTCCTCACCAATAGTAATTGGGACAGGAACTTGCTTGCTAAATGACATGGTTGTAAAGCGCAATGTCATATAATTGTGCTGATTTACAATGGCAGTTCCAGCAGTCATTGTCATTAGGTGAATCATACAGGGTCTTAGCATCTGACGATAACGGCCTCTTGCTGGTTTCCTCAATGACTTTGTTTACGGAAGCCATCAGTGAAGGTTTCAAACTACAATGATTTGACCATGAGATGCTGCACTTATCATATGTGCAAGCTGGTTGCCAAGCACTTGAATTGCAACCATGTGTGTAGGAATGTTGCAACAGCTGCAACTAAAGGACCCATCGTAAGTACCCCTTGTTCAGACTCACTGTAATTTTAAGCAATTACTGAGCAAGTGGATGTTACACAAGGATTACCTGTATATGAATTCATTTTACTTGGTAGGCCAGTCATTTCTGTGTTGTCTCAGGTGATTCTATTGGAATGTCGTGTTCCCTGTTGCGCTTAGTAGCTTGTGGACAGCAGCAGAAACCAATTCAATATCTGCTGCCACTGTCTTAAAGTTGGGTGAAGTGGGTTCTTCCTTATCCAACCTATCCCATGCTCATTAAAACCCACATACATACAAGGTAAATCATGTCTGGGAGAGGTAGATCTATTAGGTTCAACAGATGTTCTGTATTTTCCGGTGACTTCTTGGGATAATTGTTTTCCTTGTCAAAATACTTGTAACTTGGAACATTCTGGGTGTAATTGTTTTGTTTTGAGTGAAAAGTAAAATGCATTTACCACTTTCCTTTCCTTAGAATTCTAATCATGTTGATTTCTTGGATTAGATATTTCAGTATGTACCTAGGCATTTCCTTTGTTAAGGCTTTCAACTGCCAATTTGTGGATCCCCCTCATATGTTCATTGGGTTGAACAATGACTAAGAAGTTAGGCAGACATTGCATGCATTGACAAATGTATGGGAGTAATTGCCTTTGATTAAATCAGTGATATCAACTGCAGTTAGTATCCAAATATAGATTTGGATTTCACATATAGAGAAAACAGTATATTAGAGCTCTTCTGGAACAATAATTGTTCCCACACCGGGTACTTCCTCTTGTCCAGTTGGTAGTCCTGTAATATATGATAGACTTTGTCCTGATAATATCATCTTAAAAAACCAGCTTTCTAACTTGGGGAAAGTGTTCCTAATCCAGTACTTGCCTTTATTTATGTGAGGCACTTTTTTAAAAAAATGTATCCCATACAAATAGTGAACCATAAGATAGGGATCCCTTGAATGAATTTGGTTTCCTGGCCTGTCATTATTCTAATTTTACTCTGCTATTCTTTTTGCAGGTCTCCTGGGAGTGGGCTATACAGTAACCTTCAGCAGTATAATATTCCGTACCCTGAAGCCATATTTGAACTTAGCTACTTTTTCCAGAATCCCAAGCCTTTCTTCAGGTTAGCTAAGGAGTTGTACCCTGGCAATTACAGGCCAAACTATGCCCATTATTTTCTTCGACTTCTGTTTGACAAAGGGCTCCTTCTGCGCCTCTACACACAAAATATTGATGGGCTGGAGAGAGGTGAGCCTCTTGCCACTGGCTCTGAAAAGATAGATTGAAAGCAAATTATACAACAATAATATTTGTTGTGGTGATGGTGATGATGAGGGATCATCCATTTTAAATATCTTTGAGTTGGTGAAGAGTTTGACCAAATCTGATCTTTCAGTCTTGTGTGTTCTAGTTGCTGGGATTCCTCCAGATAAATTAGTTGAAGCTCACGGCACATTTGCTTCTGCTACATGTACTGTCTGTCGAAGATCATATTCAGGAGAGGATTTCAGGGTAAGCTACGGCGCAGCAGGAATAGTGCAAGTATTTACATATATCATTTTTAATGCAAATGTACAGTCAGCCTGCTTCTGTTGATTCCAGGCTTCCAGAAAGGTAACATTCCAATCCTTGAAATCCTTGTCCTACTCGAACACCAGCCAGTCGAGATATCTATTGGGTCATCTTTACTCTCACTTCACAGGGAGCATCTCTCTTACTCCACATCTCTCATGAGACAATCCAAGTTCATTTCTCACGTAACGGTGAAGTCAGCAGAGTGATTTATCCAAAATGCAAAGCAGGCATTAATAAGGATAAAGACAACCAGCCAGTAATGCTTCTCCTATTCTCAGCTTTTCCTGGCTGCTCCTATTCATAGGATAGGCCTCCTTCCACTGGCCGGGCTAAGAAATGACAGTAGCTGCCTACTCACTGGCTCTTCTTTTCAGATGGATCCACGTATTTCAACTGGATCCTAGATCTTTGCTTCAGCAAAGGATTGCCCTTGCTTTTATTGCAATTTTAGTGTGCGCTGTCCTCAATTGTGATGTCAGTCTTGTAGCTTATACTGCCTGATTAGGAACTTATATCCCTATTATCTGATTTCTTTTCAGGGGGATGTGATGACTGACAAAATTCCCAAATGCCCTGTTTGCACTGGAGTGGTCAAGCCTGACATTATATTCTTTGGAGAAGAGCTCCCTCATCGCTTCTTCTTGCATTTGACAGACTTTCCTATGGCAGACCTGCTTTTTATCGTTGGAACCTCCCTTGAGGTCTGGCTATCATGAACATGGGAAGAGAATAAGAGATGGGTTTTTAAGACAAAGTGATTCAGAGACTCTGGAGAACAGAGAAAAAGTCATGAGAAGTCAGCGATCAACGAAAGAGATGGGCAGAGATGTCAGGGTTTTAAGTTCATTATATTGTAGAACAGGAGTGTCCAGTCTTGGCAACTTTAAGACCTGTGGGCTTCAGCTCCCAGAATTCCACAGCTGAGCTCTACAAGCCTTAAAGTTGTCAAGGTTAGATACCCCTGCTGTAAGCCAGGGGTGGGCTGCTGGGGATTCGCAGGGGTTCAGGAGATCCTAAGATTCTGCACAGTTTGGAGAACCCCCAAATCCCATTCCTGGCTGGCCCCGCCTATCCCTCCCAGGAGTCCCCACGCAGCCTGTTTTCGATGCAGGTAAGTGCAAGAGCTCATGTGGAGGCTCAGGGAGGGTGAAAAACTCCCAGAAGTTTGGGAAAACCGAAAATGGGCCTGTTTCTGGCTTCCAGAGAGCCTCCAGAGCCCTTCCCGGAGGCTTGACAAAAGCCTCCGGAACCTGGGGAGGACAAAAATGCCCCGCCCCCCCCTGCCATGGTGCCAGAGGCAGACTAGGCCACACTCACCATGGCCACGCCCACCCAGCAACCGGGCAGAGAACCCATTGCTAACATTTTTGAAGCCCACCCCCATTTTTGAAGCCTTAAGAATTCATTATCTTCAGCTGTCTTCTCCCATAGGAATAATATTGCAGGCTTTGTTGCTAGAAGGTTTTGCTCAAATATCTTGTAAGGACTCTTAGAAAAATCAGCATATAAATCAAAGTACCATCTCATCATCTTAAATATTGACAGTTCCATTTTTAGTATCCTGTGATTTGTGCACGGTTCATCTTAGCACATATGGAGTGGGCAAATGCAGGAGACATTTGGTATAAGCTTTCAGTTTAACATTTGAAGATCTATAACTATTTTCTTCTTAGGAAAAAATATCCCAAAGTGCAGTGATCTTTAGTTTGCAAGAGAGATGACGCCTTCCGCTCTCCTTTCTAATGTTTTATTTTAGGTGGAGCCCTTTGCTAGTCTGGCAGGAGCTGTCCGTGGTTCTGTGCCTCGTGTTCTGATTAATCGAGACCTGGTGGGGCCATTTGCAGTCCGGTCACAGCACAATGATGTAGCTGAACTGGGAGATGTAATCAGTGGAGTGGAAAAAGTGGTAGAACTGTTAGGCTGGAAAGAGGAGCTACAGGAACTAATAAAAAAGGAAAAAGAAAAGGTATGTCATTTTGATTTGAAAACTTTGCCTCTCACGCTTTTTATTTTGATGGTTGGAGTTATGAAAATGATACAATTAAGGATAAGACTTTAATTAATATAGACTACACAGTTGTTTTATCCATCAGACTATTTATCAATCATATAGATTTATTTTTCTTACATTTGTTATATCCACCCAATTCCATGGGATGCTATCACTTTCCATCTTGGTAACTAAAGGGAAATGTCTATGTAATATGTCCCATGTGACAATTTGTTGCATTTTATGATTTATTTCAGTAACATTCTGCTTTTTCAGAGTGAAACTTAAGATTTGGAAACAATTAATAAAATTATAGTTTGGGTATTCCTTGGATTCAATGACCAAAGTTGCAATAGAAATGAATGAATGGTACTTATAGAACCATTCCTCTAATTTTCCTCTAATTTCCTGCCATCACAATGCCCTACAGTCACACAGTTTACTTGCTTGCTTGGCAACCAGCTCATACTCAACAAAAGTTGCAATATCCTGCAGACATGTGTCTGCCATTTGCAACCTTCCCTACCGGCTTCTCAGAAGCAAAGGCAATGGGAAGTTGGCAGGGAAGGTTCTGGTCAGTCTCCCACCTTCTTCATCACACCCTTCTTCTTCTTTTGGTTTCCCTGCCCTTGTGTACCTACCTTCTCTCTGTGTCCCTGTACTTATGTGAACCTGTCCCCACTTCCCTTGGCCTCCCTGCACTCGCAGGGTACCATAGCACACTCCTAATTCATGTGCAGCCTGTGCCAATTATGTAAAATGAGCATCATAATGTTCTGAGAGCAGGCTGCGCAGATGTATGTTAAACATATTTTGTCTGACAACCCAGAATGATATGATGCAAAACGTCAAAACGTCAGTCCATTCTGCTCAGGTTCAAGTAAACATAAGTAAATATAAATGTGGTTAAAATTGGTTCTTCTTTGTGTGTTTATTTGGCGGTAATGTTTTTGTTTAACTACAGTCTCTACTTTGTCATTTCTACTTTTGGGGATGGTATCTCAACAGTTGGTGTGGGTTGTAATAATCCATGTTTTTTGTGTTTTCAGCTGGATATAAAGCAGAAATAGAAGTGTATTCTCTACTTTTGAAAAGATTTAACTCCTCAAAAAGTAAAGTGTGCCTCAGCCAAAGGTTATAGTGATAAATTCACAGATTGGGGTGAAAAGTTTTTGTTCACCTAGTAGGTAACGGTAAGAACTATCTGGAAATAATAATTTAACTCCTTCGACATTTTTGAAGCCTCAAAGAAAGGCATGTTTTCAAGCCTCTTGGGGAGATGAAAATAAAATAATTTGATGAAGACTAAACTTCTGGTCCTGGTGACCAACCCAGACTGGATCCTACAAATAATTTGAATTTAATTTTCCATGAAGATAAGCTGTAAACATTTTCAATGTAACTGCTATCTCCCTTTTAGAACGCATTCATTTTCTCCAATTTTTTTTCTTTTTCACCTTGGATTACTTCTGAGTCATTTTAAAAGTATTACGGATATGGGGTGTTTTAATCAGAGCCTCAACAAGAGTATTTCATTCATACTGAATCCACAATTTTCTACCCACTTGGAAGAAATCAAATTTGGAGTGCAGTTTTTATCAAAAGTGAATTCCAGCTTTATTTATCAATGTATAAAGTAAAAGTTATGAAAATAATGTGTGTATTAATTCACAGATATCACTTATGTAACTTGAAAAGTTTATCCGTCAATATTTCTAGTAAGAGCTAGCATATACAGGAATGCTATACTGTGGTTGCTGGATGAACGTGTAGCATTTGCAACTACAGTTCAATTTAAAGCAAAATGAAATCTATTTTAACAATAGCTCAGTATTTTCATTTGATTAATTAAAGCTTTCATTCCCTACCTTGATTTTATTTAATACTTATATTTCAAAAAATCCTTATCATTTGGTTTCATCAATATATCAAACCATTGAAACATTGGTTGAATCCATTCAGCAGATTCAACCTCAGTTAACTAGTTTCCTGTTTATTATCTTCTTAAAAGAGATGGTGGTGTGCCTTTTTAGTTTTTGGTTTCATTTTATACTAATCATTCCAATAACAGTGAAGAGCTCTTCAGAAATTTGTTGATAGACTACAACTCTCAACAGCCTTAGCCAAAATAGGCTAAGGTAAAAAAAAAAAAAGCTTTGAAATGTAATGCAGCAAAATCTGAGGAAAGTCACAAACTACCCTTTCCTGCTTATATTATCTTCAAAAACTGACAAAATCTTTTCTATTCCAAATTAGAAGTAGCTGAAAGAACAATAACCCAGGTTGGATCTTCCAATCACTACAGATTGAGTATATAATTAATGAGATTGATATTTTCTCCTTCCCTTATCAACTCAATATTGTCTTGATTGGAACATTTCTGTAAATTGAAGTCATCCACATTGATTTTAGCTATGCTTTGCTTACATCTTTTATAAATATCCATGTTTTCAAGAATCACCACCCAAATAATTATAGACAAAAGTATACATGTTGGTATTGGAAGGGTTTATTCCAATGAAAATTTTTAATTTACATTTGTGCTAAGTTTTGAATTGCTAGTAAAATGAAAACAAGCTGGGAAATGGAATTCCTTTCTAAACTGGGAAGTTTAAAGGAAGAAAGTAATCTGTGAATATAAAATGCTATCAAAATAGAGAAAATAAAGCAGATAATTTCTGGAAATAAAGCAGTTTTTTTGTCTCAGCAGTACAAAGAGCAATGTTATTTCAGACAACTAAACATGTAGGAAGAGGAATACAAATGTAATATGACTGAAAAGATCAAAGTCCTACTGCAAATACTGTTTCTACATATACTTCATTGCGGACAAAATACATCTCTGTATTTCCCATATATTCCCATATTTTGTTGGTGATTTTATTAAATACCATAATTAAAAATTTAAATGATAATACAAACTAGGAAAAAAAAATAAAAGAATGAACAGAAAAAAATAGTGCAGAAAACAAAAAACATACTAGGGAAATTGAATATCAAGAAATGACTCCACCCCTTCATCACAAGCATAAACAATTTTAATATTTTTTATCGTGTCTTAAAATACAAATTTTCTTACTAGATCTCATATATAAGATCTATAAACAAATCCATAAAACTTCATTAATCCTGATCAACAAAAGTCCATTACCAGAGATATTTAACTTTATCAAATAAATCAACTTCTATTTCTACTTTTTACTTTTAATAAATTTGATTTTTAATCCCTTCAAATGTTTTAGAATTTTTTTTCTTTCTCACATACAATGTATATCCAGTGTAGCATTTTTTTTCTATATCATTTGTATAGCCTGTCATTTTTAAATTACCTTTAGATAATCCCAGGCTTATCTAGGAAAACCTGTTCCTCTTCCATAACATCTTTTAAACACAGTCTATTTATAATGGCAGACATTCTGAAAATTAACTTTTCAACCATTGTTCACAAATATCCTTCAAAAAGTCCAATCTTACAGTATTTTGTTCCATTCTATACTAGTAAGTCAAGTTTAAGTGTCCTCTCCTTTCATTGTAATTTCAGTTTTCTCTGGCATCCAATTTTTATAATGTTTTGTTTAAAGAATTCAAAAGGATAGCATTTTCCCCTGGGAAGGATTCTTATAATTAATTTTCAAATTTTTAGTTCAAATTTATCTGGAGCTTTACTCCATTTGTAACTTTCTAAAAATCAATGTTCCAATCACTTTTTTTTGCTATTTAATCAAAAAGGTTTTTTTTAAGTCCTTAAACTTAATTTAAAACTTCTTTTGCTAAGGATTGAACTAAACTTACCCACCGCTGTAAAATCCGTTGTTCCAAGGATTCTGAAAGCAGTTAGTAAGCAATTTCCAAGTGATTAAAAAAGAAAGTATGCAAACCGTGTGTCTGTAAAGACATGGGCCGCAGTTTGGAGGAAGATAGTGCTCTCTCTTTTCCCAAAGCCCTAAACATGCTGGGCACTACCATGAGGAGCAACTGTCTGGGCCATGTATGGGAAGTCCCAAGTCCTCTCCTTGTCTGGAGAGGAATCCAAAAAAGCTGGTCCATTTTTCTGTCTCTTTATTCAACTGCAATTGTTGGGTCCCTTCTTTAGTTGTCCATTTCTTCCCTAGAAACCCTACATTTCCATATTTAATTAAACATACTTCCTTGCACCTACACACACACACACACTACCTGCACACAGTCATACTGCCAACAATGGCTCTTTCATGAAGATTTCCAACCATCCTTAAGGTGTTCTAAAAAGGAATGGTGTGCAACTACACTGATTGTCACGCAATACATTCATAAAAATGCACACATTTTTATCATATATTTCTAGACATGTATACTATACATACACATTCATATTTGTCTACAGTTCCCATGTGTATCAACCATGACATACAGTTTTTAAATGTTGTGCTTGGCCCAGGGATTAACGTAAGTCCCTAATTCATACACTTTTCTTTCTAAATAATTGACTACATGTATGTACGTTTAAGTGTTTCATGTGCTATAAGCTCACTTGAAACCAACCTCTCTTGCATCCTTGCCAATCTGCTGGAAAGTCTTTGGGATGCATCAGAGGATGAGACTCTTAAACAATGAGAAAAGATGGTCAGAAAAATAAAGCTGTAAAAAGCTTTCAACAGAAGAAGTGCTATAGGGCTGCTAAGCAGAAATTAGATGGATCTGGGTGGAGGAATCTAAGCCACCGAAAGTCTTTTTCCAGGTGTTTGTATCAGAAGATCAGTCCTGATATAAGAGACAATAGCAGGTCCATATATTTGTGAAAAATAGAGGAGGGTGACTCAGTCTATTTCCAAATCAGAATCAGATGATAACCTCTGCTCAGCTATCTGATGAACAGCTTCATCCAAGGAGGTTACATTGATAGAGCTTAAATTGCCATCAGGATCCAGGCCCATTGGTCTGATGATTTGCTGCCTTCAAAGGAAGGAAAAAGAAGAAGAAATTATAGGGATGAAAAAAAGTGATTTCACCCTAGAGAAAAGCCTTACAGAAACTGTCACAAAATGTTTTCTGACAAGTGAACATAATGAGTGTTCATCAATTAAGTCGTGAAGATCTTGTGTGAGGATTTGGGTCCTTTTGTTAAAACTGAAAGAAAATATAAAAATATTCTAGTAAAAAATATTTAAAAAATAATAATCATCATCATCCTAACATTTCCAGAGATTGATCCACAATGCATGTACTGGGACTGGTTTTGCTAACAGACATTTTTTGAAAAAGGTATGAAACTTCAAAAGATTCTAAACAGACACTTTGAAATGTAATTGCTATTTGTTTTATATTAAAAACTTAAGTGATTTGTAATTCACCTCGGCCCTAATCAGATGCCTTTTTCAGCTCAGTTTTTAAAAACCTTTATGGAAATCCATACTGGATTTAGAACTGATATATGGCAAACCTACTAAGATCCTTTTAATTACCAAAGGAACATGACCAAGTTTCCTGAGTCTCAGTTCTGTGAAGATCTTAGAAAGCAAACTCAATGAGTAAAAGACCAGCTTAAGAAGCTGTTTTCCAAATTTTTCAATAGTTCACACATGAAGGTTGTTCAGGAGATACTACTAAATAATATGGAATGCAAATTCTTCAGGTAACCACTCTGCTTACTCTGCCGTTAGGATGTTACTTTAGTAAAATTATGCTTTCTTCATATGAGTCAAGCAGCATTTTAATAGAATCCAATCGGAATTTTGAAACCCAAACAAAATAATTAGTATTATTATACTGTCAAGTCATATCCCCCTGCAAAACACATTAGCCATTTACTATGATGTGTGAACTCAGCCTAAGAACATGATTTTGCGATCTTTAATGTTCTGTAGTAAGGCCAAACCAATGTTGGAATTGCCACTGGTAATTTTGAAAGAAATAGCCCTAATATCCTCTGTTGAGCTAACCAGAAAATTGCTCAGTCATTCTTTCTGATATCATTTCAGCCTTTGTCAGAGGCTTCTTATTCTCATCTCTTAAAACTTCCCACTTTTCATATAAAGCAAGATTTTTCAGCAAGACCAAACATGTTTTAAAAACCATAGTATGATAACGATTACGGACAATCTGTCCTGGATACTGTTATTGAACTTTGAAGACAGGGCACTACCTCAGTCCCTTTCAGTGCAGAGATTATAGTAATACAGGTAAATGAGGAAGAATAAATCTCTTCAACCATCCTCTGGGCTCACAGTTGTCTTCAGACATTTCTTCCAATGTTAACAGAACCATCAAACAGTAGCAAATTAGTCCAAAGAAAATTAAATAGGTTGAAATAACCTGTCTGAAACTGAATCCATTGTTAATTTTGTATCTTAGAGTTTTTGATTTAACCTATTGTTTTCTTCCTAATAACAATCCATTTCTGGATAATTATGCTGAATCCCTTAGTACCTGGAGAGTTTGTCAAACATGTTCACCAGTTTCATTGCTTCAAACTCCTTCTGTTCATCTGTCATCCCTTCCATTGGATTGGGAAGCTTTTCTTCCACACGTCCAGTAATGGGATTAATGCTAAATAGTTGAATCACATAGTAACCCAAAGAAAAGAAGGTAGTATATATGAAAAACAATGAATCAACAAATCCAATTCTTCATATACATTTTCAGGAAAGTAACTATGATCAGCTTTCCCAGTCATAAAAATCAAAAGGGCACAGGGACTTGGAAGATATGATAAACATGCTATCAAAATTTATATCACATATTCCCTTCTTGGATGTTGTTTTTTAATGGAAAAGAGTAAAAAAAGTTTGGCGAGTAGCCTAAAAATATACTCTTAATATTCATCTGATTAACACAAACGCATGCTATTAAAATGAAGAGGAACTATATAGAATATGCAGGTGATGTTGTGTTTTTCTGCCCAAAACATGTCCATTCCATTATTCAGTTTGTCCATTAATTTTCAGTTACTATTCTTACTTCTAAGGTTACAAGGAAATTCCCAGTTTAATACATCTTACATGGAGCAGTTGCTTTCCTACATGTTAAGTAAGTGTATGTAAATGTACAATAAATGTTTGCAGAAAAATTGGAGGAAGGTGAAGCAGGAGGGAAACATATATTATTACATTGTGTGTTTCCCTCCTGCTTCCTCCAATTTTAAAATAAGATGTAACTAAAAAGAAAATGTCAAAATACCTAGAGTACAACTTTGTGAGTATCTATTGGGCAATTGACTCTTGATAATTGTCACTGTCAATTAGGTCAAGAGCTGGGGGAAAAAGGAATTGTCTATTTGTGGAATAATTTGGCAAGAAGTGAACAAAGAAGCAAATAGAAAAGAAGAAATGTAAGAGAAATCAAATAATAAAATGAGCCAGGGGCAGTCAAAGACCAATAGGTCTTTTTAAAAAATTGAAAAATGAGATTCAACTGAGTGTCAGGAGGTATTTTTATGGTAAGAGCTCTTAAGCAGCAAAGCGGGCTTTGTATAAAACAGCTGTGATATTCATAGAGAGGCTGGTTGGTTTCATGGATTCCTGCAAATGACTTATAAGGTTTATATCATCTCATCTATGCTAAGATTCTAGCATTCAGATATGACAGAGATTTGCACCAAAGAAGCAGAAGCAAAGATCATATTTAAGGAAGCAAAGCATGAAATGCATCCCTACTTGGGTTTTGCTTCCTTGTATCCCTCTGTATCAGTATCTTCATCCTCAGAGTATTCTCCTTCTGATTGTCCCCCAGCCATGAGGCCTCGTGCTGCCAGAAGACCAGCAGCATTTCCATATCCTGTGTACTTCACAAACCGTGACACTGTGGAGACATAGAAGGTCAAACTTTCTCTTATTAGTATAGAAGTAAATTAATTCAAATAGTAGCAAACCCACAAATCACAGATAAGAAAGAAGC